TATATATATATAAATAATTTATATATTATTTATATATAGTATTTGTTATTTGATTAAATAACCAAAAAGTCCAAAGTCTAAAACATCTGCATTTGAGAACACAACTGAAAATGCTTCACAAATCACCATAATTTGAGTTAAAGTGTTGCATTATTTGGTGCGTCCACCTTTAAATTTAATGAGCAGAACAAAACCTGATAATCATGTTCTCCAGCATAATTTGAGAATGTTTCATAGAACATACTCTGCTTTAGTGGAACCAAGAAAAGCAGGCCGTCTGTACAAAGGAGCAACATGCCAATAATTTAATTAGTGACAGACATAATTCACAATATATGTGCATTTCCAATCAAATTATTATTTTTTTATTCCAGATTGTCAAATATCAGGCAGTATCAAATGTTTGGACTAAAGCGTATTTGGTAGTAATTTGTTGGCAATATAAAATTAATAATCATCATAAATATAAAAATTACTTTAATGCATTTTTATTTTGGCCATTAAAGGGTTAGTCCACCCAAAAATGAAAATTCTGTCATTAATTTTATTCAACAATTCGTCTCCTCTGCGTCACCCTGGTGCAATTTTGGAGAATATCCACTGAACGTAAACAGCGTATGCTGTTCTGTGTCAGCTGCGTCACACGGATATGTTGTTTTCTCTCAGAATTTATCAAAAATACCTTAATTTGTGTTCCGAAGATGAACGGAGGTCTAACGGTTTTGGAACGACATGAGGGTGAGTAATTAATGACAGAATTTTCATTTTTGGATGAACTATCCCTTTAAGTGTCTTGGTTTGAGTGTACTAAACTGAATCTCATTACCTTCATGTTGTTGAGGTTGACTTCGGTCAGCGAGGAATCATTGGATTTTATCCGCTGCAGAGTTTCCTCCACTTTTGTAGGGTTTGGTGGCTCATCAAAAACTGGCTTTACCTTTTCTCCCTTAATAACATCTATAACAAACACAACATTCACAAATGAGCTTCTACTGTGTCACGAATGCATGAGAAGACAACACGACTATGGTATCTGCTGAAAGATGAAATCAACTTGTAGAATAATAAACTCACTGTTATAACCGTCTATACAGGTGCCGTCATAGCTCTGCGTGCTCGTCACCAGTGTGTTTACTCCAAGAATAGCTAGAGAACACAACACAGAACTGTTACAATATACACAAAAAAGTATTTAAAACGCCCACATGAAAACATCATGATAAAGTGCAGTAATTCACAGTGCATTAAAAAAAAGCTGCTTAATGCTTATGTGCAGCACTTCACTACTATTTTTACTATGGTATTCTAGATGTTACTGCATGAAGCCACTTTCACATTCCTGTGTTTCGGCACAGCTGACCAAAAAAACACATCCAGCACATGAAGAGTATAAAGCTTATCAGGGTTATAATGAATCATGCAGTGAGGGAAACCAGCCAGGAACAATCTCTTAAAGCAGCGTGTTGAAAGAGGCTGTTTAGAGAGAGAGAGAGGATGTGTTTGCGGTTTTATTCTGGAGCTGTGATGGATGCAGTGTGGGCGTTCAGACCCCCATAGTCAAGGAGGGAAAAAATATTGCAGTGAGAGTAACAGAACACACTAGAACAATAGATAGCACAGAGCTGTTCATTCAGGCTTAAAGCAATAAAACTAACCCTAGTGATATTAACGTTCTCTCTAGGTGCTTTCGCACCACATAGTTCTAAGAGCTCAGTTCTAGGAACTATCCAGCAGGGTGGTTCCAAGAGAACCAATTTCTTCCTCAGGCCGTTTTCCTGGTTGCATTCGCACCGGCAGCAGGAACTCTGAAGCGGCCGACAGCGACGTCTTTATTCATGCCATTTACAAACATTTTTGGAGCTGTTTTTGTTGTGTGCCGTGGGTTTCGTGAGAACGGAGATGGAATGTAAATGCACAATTTACGCGATTAAAAGAGCACGAAAATCTGCCTACATCTCCTATGACAACTTGCAGTGTTACATATCATCGAGGCTGAGAAAAGAACACAGTGCTGCAGACAACAGGTAAATGCCGTTATCGTTGTTTTCCATGTTCGTGGAGTGAACATTTTTACACAGCTTTTTAAAAATACAGATAACCTGTGTTTCATAAGAGTTTGGAAAATCAGCATACATATACGTCACTGGTAGTTCCTATAGAACTGTTTTAGACTCTACTCTGAAGTAGGAGATAATTTAGTACCCCCAAACGGAGTTCCTATAACTAAATACGTTCCCTATTTCCTGTGGTGCGAATACGCCAAAAAGCGAGAACTTCCGCCAATAGTTCTAGGAAAAATTAAAAGTTTCCTCCAGTGCGAAAGCCCCTTCTGTCTCTTGCTGATCTCCCATTATCACTGTTTGTGAGATTCTGTAGCGGTTTTTACCTGCCAGGTCATGCAGTTCTGTGTCAGTAGCGCTAGAAAGTGCCTCTTCCAATTCCGGGTCAAGGGTCGTGGCTTCCTCCTGATGGATCTCGATTGGTTTCTTTTTGGGAATCCATACCTTTCCTGTAGAACAAAAAGACAAAAAAGTGATAAGTAACAATGGCATAACTTGCATCTTCTTTCAAAAGTGACATATCTGATATCTGCATTTACACTATACACTTGGCAAAACAACCCAAGGTAGACATTCTGACCTGGAAAAGTTTAGGCCAAAAAGGAAGTAAATGGACATAGATGAAATAAGCTTTTGAATGCCCAAAGGCTCAAAAGACAAAAATCTTCAGCACGACTCCACTGGGTTGAGCCTTTAACCTCCATTGCACCACTGAAAAGATTCATGTGATCGTGGTTGGTGTCTAATATTTAACTTAGACTAATGTTAAAAGTTTCATGACAGTAAGGGCTTTTTTTATCTTTTTTAAATGAGTCTCTTATGCTCACCAAGGCTACATTTATTTGATGAAAAATACAGAAAAATACAGAAACAATTATTATAATTATCAGTATTGAAAACGGTTGTGCTTCTTCATATTTTTGTGGGAATTGTGATACATTTTTTCTTATTGAATAGAAAGTTATTTGATGAATAGAGTTCAAAAGAACAGCATTAATTTAAAATAGCTCTTTTTCATAATAATATACAGTAAAAGTCTTGATCAATTTAATCCATCTTTGCTAAATAAAATAATTTCTTTTAAAAACTAATGCAAATGTCACACTACAAGACTGAATACATGAACATGGAAGTAGTTCCACATAAAAATTCTTCTTTACATTCAAACAATACAAGAACTCTCCCACTTCCAAACATACATGCTTGAAAAAGCAGCCCAGTCAAATGATGAAAACTCAAGAAAAGTGAGCAGCCCTTTACTTCACTGAAAACTGTAAAAAGACTACATCGCTACTGAAGACCTCAGCAGAGAGAGAGGGTGGTCAGACATGATGTCCAGCTGTATGAATAGCTGGCGTTTATGAACTCGACACACAGATAATGATGGTGCACAGCAGGCCCATCATGATAACAGTTCACTGCTTGACCTCATCCAGACTCCAATGCTATTGGACTCTCTGTAACGCTGATAATGAGGTCGGTAATGTGAGGCTGGTCTTGTGACGAGTTCATTCTCTCTGGACAGTGAACAACACACTCTACAGCTTTATTCAGGACGTGTGACTGCTGATCTCTCTCATACTGAGTGACTGAAGGGAGGGTTCTGCTGAAAACATTCAGTTCTTCCGTTTCAGTAAAACCTCATAATGTCACAATTTGAATCGGATGTTTCACAAAGAATAAAAAGACTCCTGGAACGTCATTATTTGATGTCCATCAAGATTTGTGCGGCTCCTCAGCCCATTAGAAGCAAATATGGAACATTCCAACTCATGCTGGATTTTGAGAGACATTTAAAGATGAACATTCTGTCATCATGCTGTTCCAAACACGTATCATTTCTTTCTTCCACTGAAAACAAAAGGAGATGTTCTGCAACAGTCGGGTTCTGGAAGTAAAAATCCCATTAATTTTCACCATAAGGAACAGTAACTTTATAGACAGACCTACTGTGAGCTATGAGATTGTTAATCAATGGTAAATGCTTTTGTTAAACCCGAAAATGAATATTATTTTCAATTACTCTTTTATCAGAGAAATTCCTGGTAAAAAAAAAAAAAACTACATTACCCATGATTTCGCAGAGAAATTTCCACCAATCAGAGAATTGCAACAAGTAGCCTTAATCTTGCTAAAAGAACACTTTAGGCAAAAGACATGGAGTCAGTTTTCCTACACTCTCAAAATACTTAAATATTTGCAATATTTTTGCAATAAAATGACCAGTCTTGTACTTTTGTCTTTTTGTCCAATTTTCAAACACTTTTTGCTTCAAATCAAAGTTTGTAATGTTTTGGTTCACCCTGTAGCTTGTAACTCTTTAAGACTTTTTTCAAAATCCCTATTGGGAAAATAAACGGGAAAAACCTTCTGATAACAAGGCCACTGAAAAAGTAAACCGGCACCGTTGAACTCTAAAATAATGTAGGGTTTGGCACATTTCATTCATAGGTAAGTATTCCTTTAAGGGTCTATGACGTTACATGATGATTCTAGACTTTTATGTATGACATAATCTTTCCAGCCATTATAATAGCAGATGTAACTTCTCATTACACAGAGATGTGATTAAACCGCGGCTCTGGCCTGAACCAGCAGAACTATCTACTCCATAATCATACGCAGCTTCCTTTTCCACGCTGGACAGAAGCAGTACTCACTCAGGCCTGTGAGGTTTGGAAACACACGACACGACACAGTTTGGAGAGACTCCACTGATGTCAAACATATGATTGGTTTGTATTTTTCTAATCCTGATTCGGTGACTGTGAAACACTCACATTTTAATGAGTAAAAGAAAAGCAATAAGCCAAAAGAGGCAGTGCGTTACAGCAATTTTAACACTTTTAATTTTAAAGGGTACTTTAAGGCACAACACAAGTTATTGTTTAGTTTTTAACTTGGCACACTAGAGTTCCTAACAGGAACAGGCCGAGGGTTCTAAGACCTGTCTCACTGCTCTGGACACAAGAACAGGCTTTGTGTTTGAGGTGTGGCTGAATTCCAAACACATGTTATCAGTGCAAAAAAATGAATGTGAACCAGAAAAAAAACAACAACATGTTTGCAGAAAATATTCGCAGAGCAACTGATGAGGAAAGCAGAGACTGCTTAAAGAGAGTATTATAGAGTATATCTGTCATAAATAGATGAATATTCACGTGACGTTAGAGGATATCTGCCATACACAGTACACACAGTCTTCTTCAGCGACAAATAATATTTAATAAAACTCTTAAAAAAAAAAAAAAAAAACATTTCAAGACAAAGTTAATGCATTCAGGACACTTGATGATTAAAATGAACAACATGAGCTAAAACAGTACAATTGTTCTTATGCAATTGGAACCTAAAAGCCAGCACTGAAGTGAAAACAGCAGGGCCGAATGATGCAGATTAGGTCACCCCTCAACTATTTTAACAAGAGCAAATTAAAACATGCATCATGCTGGAAATGAGCTAATTCTCTCCCACTGTAGTAATGGAGACTCTGTATTCCTGTACTGTTATGCTCTCTTCATGTCAACACAATAAAACAGCATTTGGTTATTACACAGATGCTGTTATTCAGTGTGACGTACTGCAGCACAGCTTCTCTGCATTAATCTGAGGTCACTTGTTGATACGTACTACTATCTGGAATCCAACCTTCCGTTTTAAAAAGCCCAGATCATAAACCAACAGACTTTGGATTAGCCTTCACTACACTACCGTTGAAAAAAAAAATTGGTGTCAGCAAGATGTATTTTGTTTTTTCTTTAAGAAATTAATACTTTTGAGCAATGACGCATTAAATGTTACATTACAAAAAAAGTGACAGTAAAAACATAAATGTTACAAATTATTTCTATATCACATAAATGCTGTTCTTTTGAATTTTGTATTCAAAGAATCCTGAAAAAAGCATATTAGAATCATTTCTGAAGGCTCGTGTGACACTGAAGACTGGAGTCATGTCTGCTGAAAATTATGCTTTACCATTACCGGAATAAATAGCATTTTAAAATATTAAAACTATCCACACCACAAACTGTTTGGTTTTGTTCTATTACCATGATGACAGAAACTGAACAGACATCTGATTCTGAATGGCAGATATGAACAGAGCAGTTCTGTACTGGATCTGAAGGGGCATCTTTGTTAAGCAGACCTCACACAGAGAAAAGAGGGAACGTTTTATTTAAGCCCTTTATTTAGCGGTTGTTTTTTGTTCTGTTCATGTAAACCGCTGTGGTACAGAGAAAGCCTGCAGCACAAAACCAGTCAGAACCAGAAGAGAGAGGAGCTCGACCCATCACAGTGTGTCTCTTGGGCTCAGCTGAGCCGCTGAGCTGATCTTGGCTGACCTCTACCTCCCTAACTACTTCCTGTCCTTTCACGACCCAATCACAGAGTCCTCCCCTGTGGACCAGTACAGAGGAGTCTTTCTGCACAGGCTGTCATAGCCAGCTGCACTCTAAAGGCCCTCAGCAGGACAGCAGAGCAAATAGAGAAAATCAGAGAGAAGACACATGGGCATCAACAAATCCATGGAGTCAAGATTTCCATTGCATTCACTCATTACAACAGATCTGTCCACTGAGGTGTATCAAATGATGCCTCAGCAACAAACTCTTTTTGTGTCATGTGTACCCGCCCTGACTGTATTACAGTATGAAAAAAAGAGATACGCAGCACTTGGCAGAGATGAATATCTCTCAAATTCTCTCTGTCGCCAAGGGCCATTTAGACTTCATCCCAGAGGAATTCCAGCACTTCCTGTTTCCTCATTTGTTCTCAGACATTGAGATTGAACAAATGTTCTCAAATTCCAGTCTAGCAAATCCTAAACTAGAAGTTGTGAAAACACTTGAGAGTTAAAAGAGACCCTCAACACACTGAAAAACCACTTAATCAGTATTGAGTGAGATGTGCCGATCTAAATTGTTAAAAAAAAAAGAAAAACAATTCTCAAACAGGGCACAAAAAAATCTAATTAATTTAAAATACAACACCGTTTAAAAGTTTAAGCTCTGTAAGATTTGCACCAAGACTGCATTTCTTTGATATAAAACAGAGTAAAAGCAATAGTATTGTGAATATCATTTAAAATCTAAATTTTGCTGAATTTGCAGCAGACATTACTCTTCAGTGTCACACGGTCCTTTCAAAAGCATTCTAATATGCTAATTTGGTGCTCAAGTAATTCTTGAGTTCTAATAATTATCAATATTAAAAGCAGTTGTGAAAGTTGTGACAGTCACTTTGATCAATTTAATGCATACTTTCTAAAAAAACACAACAACTTCGATGTATGCTAAAGCAACTTCTAAACTATTTTGTTTCTACTGTACACAGAGACTTGAGTTATGATGAGACATTAGCATTCAGTGACCTAAAGAACATTACACAACGCAAATGAACCACGACTAATAGAACAAGGGTGTGTGAGAAAGACAACTATATGTGT